GGAAATTCATTAAAGTGAATTATGATGGTTGCACATAAATTACTGAAGTGTACATTTAAAGCCAATAAGTGTTGTACATGAATTATACCATAACAAAGCTGTTTAAAAGTGCTATATGCAAGTGAAATTCCATGACGGTGAAACTTAGCAATTATTGTAACTTTTATAAAACAAATTTAATGTAATTCATGTCCTTTTAAATAAATGGGGCAAAAGCTGAGTCTCCAAACTTACATTCTTCATGTAATATAAGTTTGTAAAGGTAATCTATTACTGTGCTGGTGTCATTTGCATCTTATTTATTAAATTTAATGTATAATAACATTTAGTTGGTCACTGGTATTAGCTTTGGGGTGAGTTGGAGTTTCATAGGAGAAGGAACCAAGCACAACCAGGTAGGTAGGTAGATTGGGAAAGACTTCATGGCGTAGAAAGCATGTCCAGTGGACATTACTCTATTTCTGTTGACAGATTAGGCAAGTTTGGTTGTACAGGTACTTTAGAGAAAATAACATGAGCAAAAGCACAGAACCTGTTTGAGGAGAAGCAAGTGGTCCTTAAGTTCTACTTTATTTCTGTTTTTCTCCTATTGGTTATAATTTACTATATATAATTAAAAGTTGTGAATTATTAAATGTACCATTATTTTATAAGCCACCAAAAAGATTTAGATTTAAATTTTAAGATGCTTCCAGAATTGTTATAATGGAAAAAAAAAAAAAAAACCTTAAAATTTATTTTGTGACCCTAACTGGTTTGGCTCAGTGGATAGAGCATCAGCTTGTGGACTGAAGGGTCCCAGGCTCGATTCATGCACCGTGGTTGCGGGCACATCCCCATTAGGGGGTGTGCAAGAGGCAGCTGATTGATGTTTCTCTCTCATCGATGTTTCTAACTCTCTATCCCTCTCCCATCCTCTCTGTAAAAAACAACAACAACCCAATAAGATATATATATTTTTTTAATTTTGTGAAAAAATACATAAATTTGCCATAATTTATTTTTTGTTAATCCTCACCAGAGGATTTCCCCCCATTGTTTGTTTTAGAGAGTGTGAAAGGGAGTGGGGAGGAAGGGAGAGAAACATCAATGTGTCTTTCTCACTTTGATTGGTTGCTTTCTGCACAGGTGGGGAGGGAACCCTCAGCTGAACCTGTGACACTTCAGTCTTGGGGCAGACGTCCCAGCTGCTGTGCCAACCCTGCCAGGGCCATCTTCATCATTTATAAGTGTACTTTACACTCACAATATTGGGCAACCCATCTCCAGAACTCTCTTTATTTTGCAAAAACAAAAATATCTTTTTAAAATCTAAAAGTGTATCCATAAATTTATCTGCATGTATCAGAGATTCAAATTAAAAGTGGCTTAAATAGTTTATTTTTACTTCATATAAAGCCCAGAGTCATGGTGTCTCTACAGTCATCATCAGGCTTTTTCTAGTTTTCTGCTTATTTTTAAAACTTGGCCTTCAACGTTATGATAGAAGATCAAGTTCAGTCATCCTAACATTTCAAGCAGTATAATTGAAGAAGGAGTAAAGAAGGGGCATACCTTCTCTTTTTAAAAAAAAAATATTTTATTGATTTTTTGTACAGAGAGGAAGGGAGAGATAGAGAGTTAGAAACATCGATGAGAGAGAGAGTCATCGATCAGCTGCCTCTTGCACACCCCCTACTGGGGATATGCCCGCAGCCAAGGTACATGCCCTTGACCGGAATCGAACCCGGGACCCTTCGGTTCCCAAGCCAACGCTCTATCCATTGAGCCAAACCGGTTTCGGCATACCTTCTCTTTTTAAGGGCTCTCCGGAAATTGCAAACATTACTTTTGCTTACGTTCTATTGGCCAGAACTTAGTAACCTGGCCTTATCTAGCTGCAAAGGAAATAAAATCTTTTTCCCACACTGTCCTGTGCTAGTCAGAATTGGGAATTCTGTTACTCTAAAAGAGGAAAATGGATATTGGGGGATAACTAGTATTCTCTGCCAAAATACTCGTTAAAATTTGTATTTCTTAGAAAGCTTGAATAAAATAGATCAGATCTTTTAATATCTTTTGGACTTGGTAACTATACTCTTAATTAATTTATCAGCAGGAGTCACTGTTGAGCAAGTATTTATTTTTCCTTTGTTCAACCTGTCATTTCTCTCCCAGATCCTGGATTTAAAACTTCTTGAACTGGTTTCCTGGGTCTTGTTTGTGAGCTAATAAGCACTTAAATTCATTGTTAGTAGACTAATTCCCAAAATGTGCCAAAGTAAGATTTAAAAACTGACCAGAGTGCTCCTATGGCAGCACATGTACTAAATTGGAATGATACAAATTAGCATGGCCCCTGAACAAGGATGCCATGCAAATTTGTGAAGCATTTCATATTTTTTATTTCAGACTGATTAAAATAATAAATCTCAAAAAACATCAAAAGGTTAAATTAACAAAAAATGCTTCTTACCATTTAGGAACTCTTAGATGATGTAATTATAATTTGTAATTTAAAGCTCTATTTTCCAGCTCTATAATTTTTGAAAAACAATTACAGTGTTATGCAAGCAACAATAAGTGCTAATGTTTGATAAGCCAAGTTACTTATTTAAGTGGTTTTTAAAAAAATATATTTTATTGATTTTTAACAGAGAGGAAGAGAGATAGAGAGATAGAAATGTAGATGAGAGAGAAACATCGGCCAGCTGCCTCTTGCACACCCCCTACTGGGGATGTGCCCACAACCAATGTACATGCCCTTGACTGGAATCGAACCTGGGACCTTTCAGTCCGCAGACCGACGCTCTACCACTGAGCCAAACCGGCTTCGGCTTTAAGTGTCCTATCCTAGAAGAAGGGCTGCAGCCATGTCTCTTTGCTTTTTTAAGAGGTTGGAGTCCTATCTTTTTTGAAGCATATAGTAAGAGAACAATTTACCAGTTGCTCTCATGTTTTCCTCTCTGACTACATTCTTGTAATTGTTTGTGGATAGATTATAAAAATATATAATGGTATATCCCCATGTTAATATAAAACCAGATTACCTAAGGCCAAATGTTTAAACAGTCACTTCCTCTACAACAGTGATAGCTTAAACCCTTCATAAATTTGTTGTAATTCATTATAATTTTGTATTCATCAGTTGATGGGCATTTATGTTGTTTATTTTGGGGCTGTTGTGGATAGCATTGCTATAAACATTGATGTGTAAGTTTTGTGTGCATAAGTGTTTTCATATATCTTGGATATAAACCTAGGAGAAGAATTGCTGGATCATATGGTAATTCAATGTTTAACCTTCTTGATTCTCCCAGTCCATGAGTATCTTTCCATTTCTTGTATTTTCACTTTTTTCAATAATGTCTTATTACTTTCAGTGTACAGATTCTTCACTTCCTTTTTTGATCCCTAGGATTTTATCCTTTCTGTTGCAATTGCAAATGGCATTGTTTTCTTCATTTCTTTCTGATATTTCATTGTTAATATACAGGGAGGAATACAACATTTTTGTGCATTGATTTTTATATCATGCAACTTTACTATCTATAATAATAAAAGTGTTATGTGCTAATTAGACATACATCCTTCCGCAACTAGCAGAAGCCATTTGGTTTTCCTAGAAAACATCTAAAATTATTGTATATCTGCCTCTAAACTCCATTGCTGTGTCACTTAAATAGTAAAATAATTCTGATTATCTGTGAGAACTATACTTTCTTGGGTTCTGAGATCCTCAATCTACTTTATCTGGTCAATTGTTTCTCAAACTTAAGGAAGCCATCAGTATTACCTTGAGGGCTTGTTAAATACAAATTGCTCCTCTTTCCCTTCAACTCCTCCCCGACCCCAGGTGCTGATTCTTTAGGTCTGGAGGATAGCCCAAGAATTTGCTTTTCTTACAAGGCCCCCTTTTGATACTGATGCTGCTGGTCAGGTGACCACAGTTATGAACCACTGATCCTAGCCTTTCTTGCAAACTTGGAGTAGGGTCCCTATGTGCAGTAGGATGATAAGGGAAATATAAATATGGACAAATGTCCTGTACATCTGGTGTTTCCTGATCCTCTCAGGATACTGTGTCATCTTTTTTTCCTTCACATACCTTCGTGTTCCCACAGAGACAACAGCATTCAGTTTGTATAGACTGAAGCAAGGAAAACAATCAGCAGCTGTATGCGAATTTTATTCCTTTTTATAACTAGAGTTGTAGAAGAGGAGAGAGATGTTTTTTAAAAATAACTTCCACCGATGGGTAGATATTGTTGGAAAGCAGATAATTCTTCTTAAATAATTCTTTATTGTTGAAAGTATTACATGTGTTACCCCTCCTCCCCCAATCATCTCCCTCCTGCCCGCCCCAGGCCCTCACACCTCATTTTTTGTGTCCATGGGCCATTCATCTATGCATACAAGGCCCTTGGTTGATTACCTTCCGCCCATTCACCCTCCCCTGCCTTCCCTCGGAGATTCCCTACTCTCTTCCATAGGAAAGCAGATTATTATTTAATATCAGATAATTTTCTAAAATATGTAATTGTCAAGCAATAGCATTACTTTTATTTTTAATCCTCATTGATGGATATATTTTTATTGATTTTTAGAGAATGAGGAAGTGGGGGGAAGAGAGAGAGAAAAACATCCTGTACCCCCTCCCAAAAAAACCCCACTAGGGATGAAACACAAAACCTTTTGGTATACTGGACAATGCTCCAACCAGTGGAGCCACACAGCCAAGGCAATGCCATTACTTTTATTATAAGACTAGAGGCCTGGTGCATGGATTTGTGCACCAGTGGGGTCCCTCGGCCTGGCCTGCAGGGATTGGGCTAAAACCGGCTCTCCAACATCCCCTCAAGGGGTCCTGGATTGCAAGAGGGCAGTTCTTGGGTGATGCATCCTGGAATTGGGCTTTCTCCTCTCTGGTTCTGGGTGCGGCACCTGAGAACCGCAACTCTGCAGCTCCTGTGTTGAGCATCTGTCCCCTGGTGGTCAGTGCGTGTCATAGCTACTGGTTGGACAGTCGCTTAGGCTTTTATATATACAGGTAGTGTTTGCTGCACTGAACTTAGTAGTTAAACCAACTTGTTTCCAAGTCCTTAGCCTGGGTAAAGAAGAAAAGTCTCTAAAGGAAAGTCTACTGGTTATCATTGGACTTCTCAGCAGAAACTCTGCAAACTAGAAGAGAATAGAACCAAATATTCAAACTACTGAAAGAGAGAAATTACTAGCCATGAATAATATATCCAGCAAAGTTATCCTTTAGGTCGAAACTGGTTTGGCTCAGTGGATAGAGCATAGGCCTGCAGACTGAAAGTTCCCAGGTTCGATTCTGGTCAAGGGCATGTACCTTGGTTGCGGGCATATCCCCAGTAGGGGGTATGCAAAAGGCAGCTGATTGATGATTCTCTTTCATCAATGTTTCTAACTCTCTATCCCTCTCTCTTCTCTCTGTAAAATATCAATAAAATATAAACTTGCTATCTCTCTCCCTTCCTCTCTGTACAAAATCAATAAAATATATATTTTTTAAAAAGTTATCTTTTAGATATGAAGAAGAAATTAAGATTTTCCCAGACATATAGAAGATGAGGGAATTTATCACCAGAAGCCTTCTATTGCAGGAAAAACTCAAAGTAAGATCATCAACAAACTTACAGCATAAACAGGGATAACGTGTGACAACAGAAACATAAAAGGGGATGGATAAAGGACTGAATTTGCAAAAGAGAATGGAGCCCAAATGCACTCAGAAGAAACAGGACTGCTGTATATATGACACTTTTCATAAACTTAATGGTAAACACACATACACACAAAAACTGAGACATAATTTTAAAAAAAGGAAACAGATGAAAAAAGTATGGTATACCACCAATAAATCAACAATCAGAAACACAAAGGAAAAAGAACCAATAAAGGCACAGAGCTACCAGAAAACAATAGATAAATTGGCTATTGAAATCCTCAAACATCAGTGATTACCCTAAATATTAATGGACTGAATTCACCAATAAAAAGGCACAAAGTAACAGATTGGAGCAAAAAACAAAATCCAACCATATACTGCCTTTAGTACACAAATCTAAGCTGCAACCACAAAAATAGGTTCAAAATTATTCTCTAAGCAAATAGTATCCACAGAAAAGCAGGTGTAGCCATACTTATATCGAACAAAATTAAAATCCTTTTTTTCTCTCTCTGTTTTTTTTTTTTTTTCATTTCCACTGCCCATGGAACCTTACAGAGACCTGCATTATATTTTACTTGAACTATAATGTCAGTATATTTTTAGCTTATCCCCTTCCTAGTCCAGAGTTTAATTTCTTTAGGTTTCTCTTTTTCAAAGCATTGTTTTATATTTCCTTCATGTCCTAACCCCACCATCCACTTAATAGTTCATTCATTAAATAATTATTGAGTTCCTAACATGTATCAGACTCTGTGCTCAATTCTGGATACTCTAGATGTCTGAGATTCAGGGGAAAGTATATTCACTACTTCCCTACTTCAAATTCTCCTCAATTACTTCTACTTAGTTATTTTTATTTTTATTTTTTTTAATATATTTTTTATTGATTTTATACAGAGAGGAAGGAAGAGAGATAGAGAGTTAGAAACATCAATGAGAGAGAGTCATCAATCAGCTGCCTCCTGCACACCCCCCACTGGGGATATGCCCGCAAGCAAGGTACGTGCCCTTGACCGGAATCGAACCCGGGTCCCTTCAGTCCCCAAGCCGACAGTCTATCCATTGAGCCAAACCGGTCCCGGCTATTTTTATTTTATTTTTTATTATTATTTCAGAGAAGGGAGTGGGAGGGAGAAAGATAAAAGCATCAATGCTGAGAGAGAATCATCAGTCAGTTGCCTCCTGCATGCCCCACACTGGGAATCGAGCCTACAACCTAGGCATATGCTCTGACCAGGAATCAAACAGTGATCTGGTTCATAGGGTGTCGCTCAACCACTGAGCCATCCTGGCTGGGCACCTTAATGGCATTTTTAAAAAATAATATATATTTTATTGATTTTTTTACAGAGAGGAATAGAGAGTTAGAAACATCAATGAGAGAGAGTCGTCGATCAGCTGCCTCCTGCACACCCCCCACCGGGGATATGCCTGCAACCAAGGCACATGCCCCCCCGACCGGAATCGAACTCGGGACCCCTCACCCCGCAAGCCGACGCTCTATCCACTGAGCCAAACTGGTTTTGGTCCTTAATGGCATTTTTAAATGGTCATTCTGTAGTGATGTGGTTTTAAGCAGTAAATCTTTTGTCATTCATTTTTCTTAAATGTAAAATGAAGATACGTAAGGGGTAATGTGAAGATTCAGTACATTAATACATGAAACTATCTGCTATTATTCAAAATTTCTAAAGATGGAACAAATTAAGTATCTCAAAGATGTTTTTCAACCTAAAGAATCTCTGAAAATATGACTTTAGCTTTGTAATACCCACGATACTTATTCACCTCTCTCCTAAGAGGATTACCTTTAAACTGTTGAGTTGAGCATAATAAAATGTTAAGTATAACACTTGACACAGTATTTCTGTTTTTGCAGATGTTCTCAAATAGTGATGAAGCTGTAATCAATAAAAAGCTTCCCAAAGAACTCCTATTACGGTAAGTCTGAATTCTAATTTTATGTTTGTGGTGTGTGTGTGTGTGTGTGTGTGTGTGTCATATTTATCTATCAATATTTTAAAATTTGTTCTTTTCCTATAAGTAATATTTGGATTATCTGAATTTATAAATTTATTGATTTTTTGTTAAATAATCTTGTCTCTTCTAGATATAAATATTTTTGAATGTTTAATCTAGAAAATTTTCTCCTACCCAATTTGTACCTATATATAATTTTGTTTTCTCATTTTCTCTTTGCCCTATTCTTGTAGATAATGTAAGAGATAGCATGTTTTAGTCTAGTTTAATACTGATTGTTTTTGAAAATTGATTTTAATCTATCCCTTCCCCATACTTAGGTTTGCAACAAAATATTACATATACTGAGGTGCTGTATAGAAGAGTTACATCCCTTTATTTCACTGATAGAAAGGCAAAAGCTATTTGAGACTCTTTCTTTTCCTATATTGCACTTATAATTTAACTTTCTTACTTTTAATCTTTAGAAAGTACATTTGGGCCAAGACTGGTTTGGCTCAATGGATAGAGCGTCGGCTTGGGGACTGAAGGGTCCGGGTTCGATTCCGGTCAAGGGCATGTACCTTGGTTGCGGGCATATCCCCAGTAGGGGGTGTGCAAGAGGCAGCTGATCGATGACTCTCTCTCATTGATGTTTCTAACTCTCTATCTCTCTCTCTTCCTCTCTGTACAAAATCAATAAAATATATTTTTTAAAAAAAGTACATTTGGGGTCACCCATAAAATAAAACACACAGCTCCTGGTTTACATACCTGACTCAGGAATCACCTGGGAAGAAACAGGCATTAGGGAAGTTTTTTGGGCACTTTATCACACATACCATTCTTTGTTCACTTATGTGAGATATCATGACTGAGAAAGGAAGGTATGTTCTCACCTGCAATTGTAAGAAGTTGTTATCTGTGCTTATAGGTATCACTTCTTGCTCTTAGCTTCTACAAAGGCTAGCCAGCCCATGACAAGCCTGTCCCTGCTTCAGGATTTGTATGTCCTAAGTCCTCCACTCTATTGTAAGATCCCTGCAAACAGGGACTATCTATCTATCTATCTATCTATCTATCTATCTATCTATCTATCATCTATCTATCTATCTATCTAAAAGCCTAAGCGACCATCTGACAGTTTGACTGTCTGGTCGCTATGATGCACACTGACTACCAGGGGGCCAGATCTCAGCGCAGGAGCTGCCAAGCTGCGGTAACTTGGCAGCTGCGTTTCTCGGGTGATGCACCCGGAACCAGAGAATAGGGAGCGCGATTCTGGGTTGCATCACCCAAGAAATGCCCTCTCACAATCCGGTCCTTCACGGGATGTCGGAGAGCTGGTTTCGGCCTGATCCCCGCAGGCAGGCTGAGGGACCCTGGGCCTCTAGTATTCTATAAATGTTTATGTAGTGCCTTACACATTGGAAATAGTAAGAAAAAATAATGGAATTGAACTCGCAATGGGTTTTTCCCCGGAAGCATTGCCTATGTACATGCTGGTTGACTAATTTAAATTAATAGCAATACACCCTTGACTGCCCAGGGCCATTGGAGAATATACAATCCTGAATATATTGAGTAATATCTTGAGTATCCCTCAAATTTCAGCAAAATTTTAGCTATATATTTTTAGGTAGGTTATGTTCTTAACTGCTGTTGTAAGCTTAATATACTAAGGCATTCTTTAGTTATTTTATAATGACATTTATTTGAACACTCAGTTTTACATTGTACTATTGTAGTTTACCTTAAGACTCACTAAGATTTAGGGAAATTACTTGACTCCTTGTTAATTGGCCACACCATATATGGTTTATGTTTTTCTGTTTTTGCCATGAAACCCAAATTTCTTACTATGGCCTACAAGTAAGATCTGGCATTATAGTTTAAATTGGCTGCTTTCTAAACTAAACAGGGAACCTAAGTAGCACATATAGTAAGATTTCTCTGAGGAAATGAGCTTAAGTTCCAAATAGTCGATTCTGTACTTCCTGATGGGAACAAGTCCCTTCCTAAGTTGGAGACAAAGTGAAATTGATATTCTGATAAGGAAGGAAATGATTAGATAAAATAAAACATACTACTTATGAATGCATTTAAACATATAAAACATAGGTTTTGTTTAAAGCATTAAGACAAATAGAAAAGAGGCTTTTTTGATATCTTTGACATAGCACCAGATAACAGATCAATAGAAATGTTAATAAATTCAATCTGGATATTATTTATTGAATGTGATATTTCCTAAAGTTTAAATTTTGTTTAAAATATATAGGGTATGACTAGAAACAACAGATGCCCTGGGAAGGAAAACTGGATAACTGGAAGATAGGAATAGAAGGAAAGCTTACTTTTTATTAGGCTTTTTTGTACTTTTAGCTATTCTTATTTGAACTCTTCATTTTGAAATAGTGGCATACTTACAAAAAGCTATAGAAATAGTTTTGAGAATACCCTTCTCTAAGAAATAAAATTTTATATAATTAAACAATACAGTTATCAAAATTAGGAAATTAATATTGACATAGTACTCTACATTGACATAGTAATCTTCAGACCTATTCAGATTCCTCAATTGTCCCAATAATATCTTTTATTCTGGCCCAGGATCTATTCCAGGATTAGACATTTCATTCAGTTGTCATGTCTGCTTAGTTTTCTTTAATGTGGGGCAGTTCCTTAGTCTTTCTATTGTTTTCATAATCTTGATACTTTTGAACTGTTATTTTATAGATAGACTCCCTCAGTTTGGCTTGTCTGGTGTTTCCTTATGATTAGGTTATACACTTTGACAGGTATATTACAAAAATGGCGTTGTGCCCTTCTCTGTGTATCTTAATAGGAGGCACATAAGTTAATATGCTTATTATTGGTTAACTTCGATCACTTAGTTAAGATAGTGTTTTTCTGTTTCTCTACTGTGAA